GGGGTTACTGACAGATCTTCGTTCAGATAAATGCAAATGACTGGAATAACAACAGGGAATCCAATGTGGAAATAAATAATGAAACAGACAAGTGTACAATCGCTTCATCTGAAAAGTAAAATGGTTTAAGATTAAGATACAAATTATGTAAGAAAAATTGTCGTCCTTAAAGCATTCATAGTTCCGCTGTCTTCAACATGACACACAAGTTTACATATTAAAATCCTTTCACATGAACTTGATTCTAGGAGGGGGTGGGTGGCGAGGTGTGCCGTCTTTGCGGCACGAAGCAGACAAGCCCATCTTTCACCGAAATCAGAAGATCGTGATTTACATTAATGTGCAAAGTATAAGAAGCGTGCTGTTTGTCAAAAATGCTCTTGTTGAAACTCTCACTGAATTTTTATGAAACAACGTATGTTCCAAAATTGATGATGTACTTCAATTGTAAAGTGACTCATGTTCTTCTTTGTCGGTTATTGCTGTAATTAATCCTGAATAGCTGTATAAGTAAACTTTAGGACTTGTACATTAACAAGACCACACACACACACACACACACACACACACACAATTACACAAACACACACACTTACACAAACACTTTAGCGCGCACTCACATACACAGAATGCACAGCGTGTCTTGCACATAAGCATACTAGACAACCTAACCTGCAACTACAACGACGCCAAGTATCCACACTTGAAGCATGAACAAGGCGGCTTTCTTTTCCACGTACACCAACATCCTGCTTTCCTTGTCCCTTTAGCTCTGCCACGACATGTGCAGAATGGTCTGGTGTTTTGAAGGTTTTGATTGAAAACCTCTAAGTATTGAAAGTAGACCTTAGTGTAAGGATCAGTGCAGACTGTTCAGTTTTTGGGGGCTTGAGGAGGTTCTTATCTCTAAGTTCAGAACGAGTGAATTAGATTACCAGATGATACGTTTGTACATGATTATTTGGCACAACGTGCATTGTGCTACTTATTAAAACATGCAGACGTTCTTGCCTAAGTTCAAAACTTATAAATAAGAAAACGACTCGTCTGCTCACTATTTTTGTAAGTGTCATCAAGTAATCAATGTCCTGTTCTCTTGGAAGCCTTGCTGCACATGGTTTGGTAAGAAAAAAATATCATGAAAAGGACCCCGGACGCCTGCCCTTGTTTCAATTGCTTGAATTGCGCAAGAAAGCATTGGTAAAAACCCTCACCCCCCAAAAAAAATCTCTCTCTCTCTCTCTCTCTCTCTCTCTCTCTCTCTCTCTCTCTCTCTCTCCTGTTCTATTTAATTCTGTTTCTCTGTCTGGGTGACACCCCCCGCCCCCGCCTCTTTTTACCTCTCTCTCTGCGTCGAACTGTGAACATGTGTGTGTCAATCGCCTGTCATCTTTGCCCTCATTATTCCTCAAAGCCTAGAATGTTTAGTATCAATATAGAGGTTTGGACACTACTGTAAGTTCTCAAATTTTCTAGAAATTTCTCTGGGCTTTAGTGCCGGTTAAAAAAGGAGACAAAATGTTCTTATTCCTACGGATTTTTCAATTCCGTTTTCTTTATTGTCACATTTGTTTGTGTTATTTGTTTGGGGGGGGGGTTGTTTGTTTTCTCTTTGTATGTTTGTTTGTTCGTTTTTATTACAAGTTCTTGAGCCGAGGGGGGGGGGGGACACAAACTGATAGATTTTGGTTCAGATATAGGCACTTCAGTGAACGCGCTCACTATAGCGTCATTTGGCTTCGGAAAGTCCCATAGGGTTTTGTTTCCGGACATGACGTCTCATTGCGACAGTGGGTTCAAACTGTCCATATTTTTGTTTAATTTAGGGGACCAATATTCAAGTCCGATACATGTCTTTAAAGACCTGTGGATGGCCTTCAAAATGCTTCTTTCCAGGTCGATGTGCGACTAATGAGTTTCGAAATATTTCAAAGTGAAAAATAGACAATTTTTAACCTTTGATTTTTGATACATTTTCTCGTCATATTTTTTTCAAACTACCCTTGTTGGTAAACCATTCTTTGTTCTTCCAGAAAACGTTTAAATGGTTATCCTAGAAGTCTTACTTTGGCTAGTGTAGTTTTACCCTTTTATCAACCAAATCCGCGAAAACCTAGCTGAACCATTCCACCGTGACATCGCGCAGAGTCGTGACGTCACGCATTTTCGCCTTGAGCTTTTGGCTCCCTCTCTTCATTGTTTGAAATGTACGAGACAGGGAAATACATTGCCAAGAGATTTTTAAACTTTAGTTTAAAAAGTTAATCAATTTTGGTAATGTTTTATAATCCCTGACCTCACATTTTGCCTTAGTTCATTCGATAGTATAAGAAAACGAGACTTTTTAGATCCAAGTATTTCCATTTCATTGAGCTCCCCCCTCCCCCCTTTTTTCCCCTGCCCAAAGCCTTTCATTGCGTAGGTCTAGGGCCTAGATCTAGATCTAGTATGAAGAGTCCGGACTCGTGACAGTTGTTAACGCAGGCAAAAATTAATAGGCCAGTAAAAATTGACATCGAACACGGACATGAAAGATAACATCCAGTAACAAACAGGCTACAAATTAACAAACAATAAGGAGACTCCGAATTATTTTACATATACATGTATCTCACAGCCGCTACCCAATAAAAAGAAACCGTTACCCTAAAGGCACATAGAATAGTTGACACCGTAAATATACCAATGTTGCTCTAAAAATACTTCACGTGTACTTGTTTAGAT